GGGGTGAATGCTAAGGAAGCGGTCGCGGGCGACAGCAAGGCGGTCAGGGAGGCGGGTGGCAAGCAGGTAGAGGGTAGAGGTAATGGGCGGCTGGTGGGCTCTAAGCTGTGCATCAGTGCAGGCAGCGCGCAAGGTCTCATCTATCGAGCGCAGGTGGGCAGCGAGGTCAGAGACAGTGGGGAAAGATGCAAGGTCAGGAAAGAGCATCGGGAGGATCAGGCGACCCACCGAGGCAGCCGGAGGGGTGGAATAGCGCTTGATCACAGCATCTAAGTATGCCTGAGCAGTAGTGAGGGACCTAAAGCGAGGGCGCTCGGACGGGGGAAGGGCGTTGCTAATGGCAAGCTGGGCGACAGCATCGCGAGAAAGCCAGACAGAGCGCGCACGGGCAGTGGCAGCAGTAGACTCACGGTCAGTGGGTGTGGGGTCAGCGGGCAGAATAGCAGGGGGGTCTGGGCAGGGGAGCGTACCGTCAAGGTGTGCGGAAAGCGGTTCACCATCCTGCCGCTGGCCAGTGAGTTGGCGGCGGAGGTCGGCAAGCCACGCCTCGAACTCTAGGGGCTGACCTTCAGCGTCGAAGCGAAGCTCCGCCGCCATCAGGAACAGTCCAGTGCGGTGCAGGGCAGTGCAGCTAGGTGGGGTGCGGTGTAGTGCGGTACAGTGCGGTACAGTGCGGTGCAGTGCGGTACAGTGCGGTGTAGTGCGGTATAGTGCGGTGCCAGGCAGTACAGTGTGGTGCGGGGCGGCACGGAGCAGGGCGGGGTGGGGGGGGAACCGTACCAGTGAGGAGGACGGGGCCGGGGCTGGCCCGACGGGGCCGGGCGGGCGCGACGGGGCCGGGCTGGTGTGACAGGGCCGGGACGGGGCGACGGGGCCGAGCGGGCGCGACGGGGCCGGGCTGGGGCGACGGGGCCGGGCGAGTGCGGCAGGGCCGGGCCGGTGCGACGGGGCCGGGCGAGCGGGACGGCGGCCGGGCGGGTGCGACAGGGCCGGGCGGCTGCGACGGGGCCGGGCAGGGTGCGACGGGGCCGGACGGCTGCGACGGGGCCAGGCAGGGGCGACGGGGCCAGGCGGCTGCGACGGGGCCGGGCGGGCGCGTCGGGGCCAGGCGGCTGCGACGGGGCCGGGCGTGCGCGACGGGGCCGGGCGGGTGCAACGGCGCCGGGCGGGCGCGACGGGGTCGGGCGGCTGCGACGGCGCCGGGCGGGCGCGACGGGGCCGGGCGGCTGCGACGGGGTCGGGCAGGGTGCGACGGGGCCCAGGAGGGGCGCTGAAGGGCCCAGGGAGGGCGCGACGGGGCCCAGGAGGGGCGCGACAGAGCCCAGGAGGGGCGCTACGGGGCCTGGGAGGAGCGCGACGGGGCCCAGGAGGGGCGCTAGGGGGCCGGGGAGGAGCACGACGGGGCCTGGGAGGGGCGCGACGGGGCCTGGGAGGGGCGTTACAGGGCCCAGGAGGGGCGCTACGAAGCCCAGGAGGGGCGCGACGAGGCCCAGGAGGGGCGCTACGGGGCCCAGGAGGGGCGCGACGGGGCGCTACGGGGCCTGGGAGGAGCGCGACGGGGCCTGGGAGGGGCGCGACGGGGCCTGGGAGGGGCGTTACAGGGCCCAGGAGGGGCGCTACGAAGCCCAGGAGGGGCGCGACGAGACCCAGGAGGGGCGCTACGGGGCCCAGGAGGGGCGCTACGGGGCGCTACGGGGCCTGGGAGGAGCGCGACGGGGCCCAGGAGGGGCGCTAGGGGGCATGAGCGGAAGCGGTAGGTGGGGGGGGATCCTACCTACGCGTGATACCATATCAGAATTGGAATTGAATAATGATAAAGTGAGAGTACACACAAATATACCTAAGTGTTGTACCCTCTAAGAGGTAACCCTATACAGTCTATACAAACATGACAAATACAGATGTTTGACAAATGCGACTCGGAATAATGGCAGCCATGGCTGGGTTGGTTTTGAGTCAGAGCCGAACGGATGGAAACAAAGAGCAAGTTGTGGAGGGAAAGAAAGGGCTGCAGGAGAAGAGCGGCGTACGCGATACTGTCGGCATTTCGTCGTAAGCGAAATCGCATCACTGGCGGAAATTGCATAGCATGTAGCAAACTTCACAATGACCACTGTAATATGATCAATCATAAATTGATTGATTTCTTGCCTAAGCTCTTTCTCTGCAACGAATGATTCAACACCACTATCACGCTCATGCGGTTCCCGTTGTGAAAGGGCCCATAACTAATGCTATGCCAGAGGGGTGTTTCGAAGTCAGCTGAACTAGCTATGTCAAAGCCCATCTCTTTTTTATCATTTATTGTTTTGAACTAGCTTTCTCATTGCACAATTAACCAACCATTGAAAATGCATATACACCACCATCTCTTGCTAACGAACACAGTAAAACCCCTTTTGGCAGAGTAAACCATACAGCTGGACACGATGCATTGTCCGGAGATGGATCTTGCTGGCGTGGAGGTGGAGTAAAGTGGCGAGATCAAGCGATGGTGGCGTGACGGGGGTATGTGCATGGACTAGTGATGCTGCTTGAATGCGCTATGCCAAGAGAGAGCTGGACCATGGTGCTGGTAGGGCAAGAGACAGTCACAAGCAGCAAGGGGAGGGCAAAGTACAGTTGCAGGGAACAAAGGACCAGAAGAATGGTTCGAATCAGCCTTCGAAACAGGCGGAAAAGGCCCGTGGCGACCAGGGGAAAGGGTGAAAGATGGTCAGAGGGCACGGCGAGAGAAGTGGGAGACACATGTTTCAGCTTCAGAGGAGGGGGAAAGGAAAGGTGAGCATGGAGAAAGCGGGAGCCACGACAACAAGAGAAACGAACTAAAGGGAAGCGACGGAAAAGAGGGCACGGGGCGGGGGGGGGGGGGGGGGTTGGGAACGGAAATTGACATACCTAGGGTCCAGTAATACGGGCAGCACTCGGTATCGCTCCATTTACTTCTCGGAGGAGTTAGGGCCGCGCTTCTTGCCGAATCCCACCACTGGGGGGGAGGGGGGGGGGAGGCAGGGGGAGGGGGAGGAAAGGGCAAGGAGGGGAGAGGTGACGAGGGCTCCACTCAGCGTCGTTCGGTTGACATTTGGGAGGAACTTCGGCCGCGCTTCTTGCCGAAATCCACCACTGTGGAGTGAAACGGAGAGGTGAGAGGAGGGCAAGAGGGGGGGGGGGGTTGGGGGGGGGGGGGGGGGTAGAGCAAGCAGCACGCGCGGTACAGGCGGTTTGCCGCACACGCTTCACACCCTTAAGCGACGCGTCCAGTACCGTTCCTGCTTGCTGTCCCAGTAGCACATCACACCCTGCTTGACGTCGTCCAGCGACCCCGCTGCGACTCTGTGCGACTCTTCCGCGACTCGTCTGCAAAAGTGATGCTACGTAACTGTCGCGAGCTAGCAGAGTGCGACGAGAGATGGCGGACGTACGACTGGTCGAGTCGACGCCCTCTCGTCGGTCGACACCCTTGTCGGTCTGACGCGCTCACTGGAGCCGAAAGTACGAGCTACAAAATTCTCTGCCTTCGGTCCACCTGCACCATTTGACCTAATCGGGTATTTGCTTCGGCCTTTGTGGCGGCTCAATGCTAACCGACCAAATCCAGCATCACAGCTTCTGCCCGCGCGGCGCATCCGCTCGTGACGAAGGCGGATGTGATAATAACGAGCGTGTGCTTACCGGCGGTGACGAAGCGGCGGTTGTATTGGATGCGCTTGTGCGCGCGGCCCTTGGGCTGCTTCTTCTTGTCCTGCTTCTCCACCTTGGGCGTCTGCCCGCGCACCTTACCGGCACGCGCCAACGATCCGTGCACCTTACCTGGATAAGCGGGAAAAAGGGGGGGGGGTGGGGGCGAAGACAAACCGATTTAGATCGACACGATAGTCGTCTGCCCACGCACCTTGCTGGCACGTGTCAACGATCCGTGCACCTTACCTGTGCGCGTTTAGGGTTTCAGAAGGAACGGAGAGGAAGGGGGAAACGGGGGAAAACGAAGTTTCGGAGAGAATTCGAGGCGTCTGGTCACTCAGCTTCCCTGTGCTTCTAAGCGTACACGACGGGGAGGGGATAGGGGAAAACGAGGGGACACAGGACGGTGAGACGAGAAGTCGATCGCAAAAGAAAGCGTGGGGACGACTGGCAGGCAGCGCTAGACGGACGCGGCTGCACGAGACATGACGGAAGAATGGACTGAGAGGGTGGCTGTTAGAGAAGAGGACCGAGGTGAAGCAGAAAAGGACGCAACTATTGTAAGGACAACCGCGTACTATTCTTGATGGAAAGCGGTGGAAAAAGGCCAAGATTGTCCTAAACACTCCTAGGTTCTACACTCCCAGCTGATTAGGTCAGGGTTTCGGGGTTAGGCGACAAACATCAGTACCCCCTGCCAGATCCGATCGCGCTACGAAGAGTAAGATTATTTCGAAGCACTAGAACTCACTCATGGTGTTACGTAGAGCCGAAACGTCACAAGCAACGAAGGAAGCGGCGGCACGGAGAGTGCAAGGGAGTAAAGGGGAGAATAAAGCCGCGAGAGAGATTCAAAATAGGCGAAGGGCGGAAAATAAGAGGAGGTTGGCGGGGAACAGCAGAGGCGGGGGAGGGAAACGGGGGAGAGGGGGAGAGGGGGAGAGAATGAAGAGAGGGTGGGGGGGTGGTTGGGGGGAGAGAGCAGAAAGAGGAGGCGCCGAAGCTGAGAGGTCACGGGGAAACGCGGGGGGAAATCCGGGGGCTCGGCGCAAAGGTTGGGGAAGACCCAGACAGTTGTGGGGTTTTGTGGGGAGCCAAAAATCCGCGATTGCGGGTGGAAAAAGCAACCAGAGCCTGAAATCCGCGTTGAAGAGTCCTTCCGGTGCAGAATAAAAGAACCGATGAACGAACCGATGGTGAATGTCGCTACAGCACAGCATAAGTTCACAGTCAAACTACCCGCACATATTTGTTGAATTCGAACTAGTAGCCAATAAGTCTGGTCTGGTCTGCATGTTTCCGATTTCCCCATGCTTTGTTCTGTAATGCCGCCAGTTCTGTAATGCCGCCAGTCCGCATGGCTCTTGCGTGTAGGACGTTCACCACGTACTAAGGAATTCCCTCTCGTTCCTTCCTCGTGATGCTAGCAGGCAAGCTCCCCAAATGTTCCGACAAGCGTCCTAAACTACACACCTAGTTGTCACGGCGTATTTCCGAGCAGTCTGTTGAAAGCAAGGCAGACCGAATAGGAGTTTTCTTGCGGGAGTTACCACAACGCCGGCGTCCCTGAACGGAAAGCCGTTATAGGCGCTTCCCTAAGTTGAGGTCGATAGAGGGGAAGGTTACTGCGACATGTCATTGCGAGGCGCAAGGCCGGCAAGATTGAATGCGTTTTGATAGCGGCAGGAAGCGATGTCGCATAACAAGCAGCATGGTATAGCCGGGCCTCAGCGCGGTTGAGCGAGAACGTGGCACGTTGTGTAAAGGCGGAGGCGTCATAGTATAGGAAGGAACGCAGTACACTATAGCGGGGACGCAGCGGCCTCTCCTCCCCAGATCCCGGCGGCGGAAAGCGCATGGATTCGCGGACTGGCGGAGATCCGCGGAACACAGGCGAGGCGGCAACGCTGTGGGGGAAACTGGAAGAGACATGCAGGTGGGGGGTTTGAGGGGAATCGGGAGGGGGGGAGAGATTGGTGGGGAAGTGCGGTAAGGAGCTAGAGGGGAACGGTGACGGATGCTTTGAGAGGGAGTCGTCTCGAAAGAGCCGTTGAAACTTCCTGCTCTCTCTAGACATGTCTCACAAGCCGGTGGTTGTTTTTTTTTCGCCAATGATCTCGTTGATCTTTGCGGAACTGGACCCCCTCTGCCCCTTCCGGTATTAAACCAGGTTCGAGCCTCGGGTGGAGGTCCGGGTAGAAAATTCGAATCAGTGTGTGCTCATTTGCCAAGCCACGTCAACTCTTCCCGTCCAGGTATTACACCGGGCTCCCCAAGCCTCGGGTGGAGGCTCGGGTGGTGGACTTCCAATCCGAGAGGCAGTTCGTGTCGCTGCTGCACCAGGGCAAGCCAGTGGCCGTGGCTTTTACCTTCTCGTGAGTTGACGGTTTGGGACAGGGGGTGGCCGTAATTCATACTTGAGAGTGTAGATAGGGCGAAGGCAGGTGCTGCACCAGGGGAAGCCGCTGGCCGTGGCTTTCACATTCTCGAGAGTTTAGAACAGAGGCCCATGCGGTCTCATACTTGTGAGTGTAGATAGGGCGAAGACAGCTGCTGCACCAGGGGGCGCCGGTGGCCTTGCCTTTCACGTTCTCTTGAGTTCGAGCTTTTGAACAGTGCCCTGTGCACGCTCTTACTTGTGGGTGTAGATGGAGCGAAGTCGCTGCTGTAGTAGGGCAAACTGACGGTCATGGCTTTTTATTCTTGTGAATTTAGTCGACCGGGGGAAAGTTGTGGTCCACAGGGGAATGCTGAAGTGGCAACCAGGCTTCGTCTGTGGTATGTCCAATGTGCTAGTCAGTTTCTTTTTTTGAGGAGTTTTTCTGTTTGAGGCGCCTCAAAAATAGTCAGTTTTTGTCTGTGTTGGGCATTCCCCATGATTATGTGAGCCTGTTCCCTTCCCTTGTTTTCCTTGTCATCCATTCTGTTCTCCTCCCTCTTGAGTTCCTTCAAGCTTATCCTGTGGCCCTTGCTTCCTCATCCTCTGCTCTCCCCCCCCGTTGCCCCTGTCACTGCACAGCTGTGCACACACGCGCCATTTTGACGAGATGTTTCGACAGGCATCGGCTGACCTCCACCCACACGTCAACTTCATCCGAGTGAGTGTGTTGCTGCTCTCTGGCTTTCTTTACAGATGCGCTTTTTAGTTGCTTCTTTCAGCAACTCAGAATGCCGCTGTTTATCTGGCTGGCAGGTGGATTGCCCCAAGCACCTCGGCTTCTGCATTGCTCGCCAGCGCAAGGACTATCCCTTCATAGAGATCTTTTACAACTCGAAGGAAGCGCAGCGGGACCCGATCCCTTCTGTGGGAGGAGCTACAGGAGCAGCGGGATTGGTTCGCTACAGTGTCATGGTTCTGCCGGTAAGCCGTCTGGTGTTCAGGTTTTACTGATAGGTTTTCGTGGAAGTTTGTACTGTTGAGGTTGTCTTGGGGTTTCTTGGTGTGTTCTGCTGGTACTACCTCTACGTCCTGAATTCTTTCCTCTTGGATCAGAGTTAGCCTGTTTTTCGGAGCTGGCTGTTCCGGTATCATTGCTAGGTTGTGGTCTTCTGCACGTTGGTTTCTAATGGTTCCGAGTAACTGTTTAAAGCCTTGTAACTGTTAAACTGTATTTCCCTACTGCCTCATTGCCTTTGCTTGAACCTTCGTTTTTTGCAGTACAACTATGATATCAGCACTTACGGGTTCAGAGAGTTTTTCAAAAAGCATCAGTTGTTTCCTGTAGCAGCTCCCTGAAACATGCTTAAACCACCAACAATTCTACTCATTGACTCACGATTCATCGGTTATGCCCTTGTTAAATTATATATGGAGTTATATAATTGTTAGGCTTGGTAGGTTACCGAACTTTACTGTAGAGGGTACAATCCCCTCTTTGTATGCTTCTCTCTTTCTATTCCAACCCCCTTTTCTCTTCTCAACATTTCTCCTTCCTAAACCTCATGCCACTCCATGGCTCCTCCTAGCTAAACCTCATGCCTTTCCTAGCTTCCTAGCTAAGCAAACCTTCTAACATGCTATCAGAGCAGAAGGTCCTCCCTGCTGGACCGCCTCCTCACGCTTCCGCCGCGTACTCCTCACCCTCGTTCGCTCGCGCGGCCATGGCGGCCGCGTTTTGCTGCAGTGGCGGCGTCGTGATGCCGCTGGCCGCGTCGTGCCGCGGCTGTCTCGACGCGCTGCCGTGGTGTCAGGCCGTCGTGCTGCCGTCGCAGCGTCGACGTCCCGCCACGGCGTCGACGCCGCTCTGTGACGGCGTCGTCGGGCTGCAGCCGGCCGCTAGACTGGCCGCCCGCATGCCAGCCTGTGGCGTCCCCCCCCCCCCCCCCCCCCCCCCCCCCCCCCGCCCCCTCTCCTTCCCCTGTGTCCTCTTCCTTTCCGCAGACGACGGCTGACTCCCGCCGGCCGTCCCACCGTCGCAGGGCCTGGCCACGTCACCGAGAGGTGCGGGCGCCGCCGCCGCCGCCGCTGTTGTCGAAGCCGCCGCCGTCGCCGCTGTCGCCGCTTGCGTCGGGGCCACGCAGCCGCACGCCGCCGCCACCGCCGCCGCTGTCGACACTGCCGCCGTCGCCGCCGCAGCCCTTGCGGTCCACATCGTCGCCTCACGCGCCGAGGGGTCGACCGAGCTAGTGTCGCTGTCACTGTGGCTGGAATGGGGGTGCTAGGTTAGGGGGGGTGGGGGTGTGTGTGGGCTTGTGACTACCAAGCCTAGGAGGTGTGTTAAATTATATATTGAGTTATAAAATTGTTAGGCTTGGTAGGTTACTGAACTTTACTGTAGAGGGTACAATCCCCTCTTTGTATGCCTCTCTCTTTCTATTCCAACCCCCTTTTCTCTCCTCAACATTTCTCCTTCCTAAACCTCACGCCACTCCATGGCTCCTCCTAGCTAAACCTCATGCCTTTCCTAGCTTCCTAGCTAAGCTAACCTTCTAACAGCCCTTGATTGTTTTTGTGGTTAAAAATAATAATTAAAAAAAAGAAAATGCGAGCTCTTGTTGGTGGTTCTAAAGTAGGGCTTCAGATTGGATTTTGAGGGGCTGTTGGCTCAGGGTGCCCCCAGCACGAACCCCTATTTTTCAGGGTCTGGTTTTGAAAGATGCATATGTTTTCAGACTGAAAATTTTCGAAGGCTGAAAGTTCAGGACTAGAGATTTACAGGCCTGACATGTTAGTGTTGAACTTCTGCATTTTTTTTGGGGTGGGTTTGCTTTTGACCTAGCACTATGTGTTAGACTGAACGTTGACTTGTTTGTTTCAATGTTTTCATGGTACCGGTATACACTTGGTAGTTTAACAATTTTAGAAAACCACAGCTTATGGCGCTGCTGCTGCTGCCTTTTGTGTTGACTTACTGCCGCATACTACTACTACTGAGGCTGCCAGCCACTTTTGCTGCTAGAACACTTACTGCTCTTCCTGCTGCACCCAACTGCTCCATGTGCTGCCGCTGCTGCTGCCGGTGTTGGTGTTGTTGCACCTGACACTGCTACTGCTGCTGCTGGTCCACCTGCTACTCCTCGTCTTCGTCTGACTCACTTTCGCCGCTACTGCACTCCTTCTCACCCTCTGATGCATACCAAAATTCCTCATTGACCTCTCCTCCACCAACCCCCCCTCCTCTCCCTCCCTTGTTTCCCTCCTCTAGCTCCTCTTCCACCTCCTCCTCTGGCCCCTCATCCAACTCCTCCCCTGGCCCCTCCACCACCTTTTCTTCCCCCCTCAAGCTCTTCACCCGACCTCGGGGGTGGATGCGGGTGGAGAACTGCTTCCGCTTCTTCCCTCGAAACACCTTCACCACCTCCTCCTAATCAGGCTCGTAGTCGAGCAACGCCATGCTCATGAGGCTTTCAAGCGTGGCGTTTCCTAGGCTGCCTCGGCACCAGCTCTTGATGATGTTCGGCCGACTGAAGCCGCTCTCACACTCCACCATAGACAGCGGCAGCACTGCGACCGCGACCCATAGGCGGCCCAGGTTCGGGAAGGCCTTTGTCCAATCATCCGACTTCAGCATCGCCGCCAGCCCCTCGTAGAACTTCCGCTCCCCCACGGGAGCGTCTTTTAGCAGGGAGATGAGAGTCTGCAGCTCCCTGGTTGCCGCCCTCTTGTTAACACCTGCACAGAATCAGCGGGCGCAAGGGGAGGAGAATGCATGGTATAGATGCAGGCCGTTAGTATGGGGATAAGGATGACACACAGGCATGATGCATGGTTACAGCTGGGTTCATGCACGGTTAGTAACGGCTTACCTGGCAGAACCTCCCGACGCCCGGCTGCGCGGAAGAGGTCGAACAAGCTCTGCAGCCAGTCCATGCACTGGCTGTTCCGCTCCTTCCTCCCTGGCGGCCATGCTTCCGAGGTGAAGAGCCTGCACCCGTTGAGCTTCTCCAGGTCGCCCAGCCGCTCAACAATGTTCTGCTCGGTCGCCTTGGCGAATCTCATGCAGATGCTGCTGCACTCGCCGTGGTCCTCGCCAGGGCGCTCATCGTGCATGTCAAACTTGTGCACGATTGATGTGCCGTCGGACTTGCATCCCTCAATGGTGACGGCGCGGCTGGTGCGGTGCGCTTCGATGAATGCAGTGAGGAGCGGCGAGTTGCCACTCGACGTACCGCTGCTTGATGTAGACGACGGTCCTCCGAATAAGGCCCTGGACGACCGTCAACTCGACCTGTGGTGGGAGAGGGCTTGGGCAAATAGCTTTGGGAGACACACGATTAGACAAACATAATAGGACCATACAAGGAACCAACCTGGCGGGCTTGGAATTTTTGTTGAGGCTGTTCAGTAAGCCAAGCGTGTCAGCCAGAAAGTAGAGGAAAAAGTGAAACTTGTAGCTTTTTACGATATTGTACATCTCCTGGTCATACTCAAGAAGTAGAATGACCACAGCTGGTAGCACGTCGACGAGGCGGGCGATCGCCTCACCTCGAGATAGCCAGCGTATATTGAAAATACCCTGCATCTCGAGTTTCGTCTGGGTGAAGACGTCTTGGAGGTTATTGAAGTGTGCGTGCCAGTTTCCAGAGCGACCTAGCAACTCAGCAACGGTCCGGATGAGCTTGTCGACCACTGCTAGCTCAGGAACGGCGGTTGCAGCATCCTTTGCAGCGAGGGCCTCGCTGCGTACACAGCAGAAACAGCAGAAGCATCAGCGTTGTGATCAAATAGTAGCTGGAGAGGCACAGCGAGTACAGACACCAGAGTCGTCAGAAGTCATGGTTGGGTAACGGGAAGTGAGAGGCAAACACATGCACCGTGGCTCACCTGTGAGCTATGCAGTGGCAGGACACCAGCTACGGTGACATGGCACGCATGCGAGTGACGAGGCCGGTGTTGGAGCCCATCATGACAGCAGCCCCATCCGTGCTGATGCCGGCAATCTTGTCGGGGTGCACGCCAATCTTGGCTAGATGTTCCTGAATGAGAGCATGAATAGATGCTGCATCACACTGTTCCAGTGTTAGCAAGGCATTGAACTCAGTCACAACATGCCCATCACGCAGAAATGTTACAAACAGAATCAAGTGTTTCCCTCGAGTGCGGTCAGTCGATTCAGCCCAATGAAGGGACTCGCGTGAGTGTGGCGTAGCTGAGAAACATGAAGCCAGTTTGACAGAGACTGCATCAGTTGCGCGAAGCCGTACCTGCATAGGGTGTAGAGCTCACCACGTGAGACAAGGCATTTGTAGGCATAAGTGAGGAGCGGGAAAAAAAATCACGTCCTAAACTCACGAGGTATAGTAGGTTCTGTAGCTCTTTTTTGGAAAGCCGGGGCACTTCCGCTTCGCTAGGAAGCAGACGAGCTTCACCCAAGTGTTGATTGGCGCGTCGCACTGGCAGATGAAATGCAGGACCCGCAGCAGCGCGATGAGTCGTCCCTTCTCGAGATCTTGGGCCTGTGGGAAATCTGATATCTTCTTTTGCTTTTGAGTGTCTTCCATGGCCTTCAACTTTGCCTTGATGCATGCCTTGTACCGTGTTGACCGGCCATGCCTCTTCATAGCCTGTGTCTGTACGTCAACTGCGCCCTCTCCATCTTGGCCATATTTGGTGCCCAGGACGCCATGATCTGTACACACATTACATCGCAGGGATGGAAGGCCATGTTTAGTACGACATAGGAGCAACCAAGGAAACCGCTCTTGCCAGTCTGACTTGAAATTTTGCAGAGCTTGAAAATACAACAAGTCAGCAGCCTCTCCAAATTCCTCATCAACGGTGGCTGACGACTGGATGCGCGTCTCCAGTGGTGTCACAGTAGAAGGGCCGGCCACTGGAGTCGCACTCGTTGGCGTAGTTGACGCAGCACCGCCTGCCGACTGCTCGGCATGCCGTGTTGTCATTGCGGGAGAGGCTGCATCCACCGGTGGAGCACGTGACGGCTTGTGCCTCCGTGATTGAATGGTGGCACGAGCTGTGGCGAACGTGATGGCGGCAGGATGTTTGTCGACGGTTGTCGGAAGCCAAAACGACAGCAATGCTTGACGGTACGTTCGTTTCGGGGGAGAATTAGGCGCACCGCGATCTGCTCCATTACCGCCATCACCGGCCGCTCCGACCGCCTGCCCTGCGTCGCCTTCTGGGCTGCGAGGGTGGGGCGACACACGGCCAGCATCACCGCCCGGGCTGCGTGGGATCGGGGAGAATTGCGGAGCATCGTGAGCCGGAGAGCGGGGCAGCGGCGACGGGCCAGCGTCGTCACGCGCAGGGCTGTGCACAAGCGTGAACCCACGTGCAGCCTCGGCAGAAGGGATGCAAATGCACGGAGAGGAGACTGAAGCCACCACCGGCGGGCTGTATATGCGAGGAGAAGAGCGCGCGGACTCGCGTGCAGGACTGCGCACGAGGGGTGACGCGCAGCCAGTGTTAATCGCGGGGCTCTCAGGCGTAGTAGACGCAACAGCAGATCTACGCCGCGGACTGCTAGGCAGGAGAGGGAAAGGGTCGATACGAGTATCGGCGACACTCCACACGGCGCCCTGCCTTGCAGGACGCACAAGAACATCCAGCGCTGACTGTGTTACAGGCAGGGCACTGGCTTGCCATGCGGCCTCCTTCCTGCTGCGCCGTTTTGAGCCTTGCACCTGCCATCCCTCATCGTCGCTCATGGCGTGAGATGGTGAGTGAGAGACGGTCGAGCAGGTGGTGCAGAGAGGCGACACAGAGGAGCTAGCGAAGGTGGGGCGAAAAAACTGAGTGAGCTACAAGCCTTTTGCCATGTTTGCCCGCACCGCAAGGAAGCGATGTACCAGGAGGAGCATGCTCGGCTGGGACGAGGAGGGGTTGAGTGGTGGTCGCACGCACCACGCGATACGGTGTGGCAGCGTGCATGCCAGCTTGATCGAAAGATGGGTGCATCTGTTAAAATTATATAAGTTATAATTTATATAGGCTTGGTAGGTTGTTATCGAACCTTTCTGTAGAGGGTACAAACCCCTCCTTGTATGCCTCTCTCTTATTACTCCAATCCCTTTTCTCTCGACAATTTTCCTACCCTCCTAGCTAAACCCCGCCGCCACATTCATGGCGGCCTTCACTACCTCCTAGCCTAGTACTAGCTCTTTAACAGCATCGTTGTTGGCCTGGCGGGGCGGGTAGCGGGTGCTCAGTAGTAACACGACACGACCCCCGATTGGTTGGTAAACCCCTGACTTCGCCCTAGACCAATCCTGCTCCTAACAGCTGTTCCAGCACACCCTCTGCTCCACGAAGCTGCTTGTAATTTTGACTAAGGACCAATCACCAGCCTCGAGCTTTAGATATGCTGATTGGCTGAAAAATAGTTGCAATATGCTAGTCAGTTGAGGTGTCCATAATGGATTCTACTACGTGTTATGTAATGTTTTCTGGACCTCGCCATAGGGGGAAAATGGATTCTACTACAGTTGAAAACAGTCTGCAGTGCGTGCGCACGTCATGCTACCGGTCAGCGACTTCAATCACTCTCGCGATTGGTCGCCGAAGGGGCTGTGTGTGCTTCTGGTTTGGGACATGACCATGCGATCTTTTCAAGCTCGTCGTACGGCACGATGCGATGGCTATAGGGTTGGTTCACCCATCGCATGCGAAACATCATCCCGTTGCCCCATTGGTCCTGGCACCTCCTCTGGACGTGAGTGTCAAAAGATCTCGCCATGCGACAAGCTTGCGTCGCCGTGGCCATACGTGCGATCCAAGTCCCACGGCGTCCTCTCCTGGTCAGGTTTCTGGTCGTCGCTGTCGCGCCTCGGAGAGGCTGTTGCGAGAGTGCTGCACGGACAGGCATGCGCCCTCGGTCTGCCCTGCTAACGGACGGGCAGACACTGGAATTGTCGCGCTGCCGCTACGCCTCGTTCTCTCGCGGCGGCACCTGCTTGCTGCACGCTGGCGCAAGTTCATTCGTCCGCGCCCGGCTACACTTTCCGCCTGCAACATCATGAAACCCTCATGCGCGGAACCCGTCGCCCCCGCTGCACGCAACATTGAATCTCATCCGCGCAGGATTCCCCCAAAAGCGGCAGCCCAGAAACGAAAAAAATGTTGTTCCAGCCCGGTGCATAACAAAAGCGCAATTCGCGAGTTCAGCGCTGGTTCCGTGAGCACACGACCCGTTCAAACTCCAATTGCCTCCTGTGATCAGCCCGTCACGTTTCGAATTCGAATATTGGGTAGCTCGCTTTTTGCGTTTCGTTCCTTCCTTCCCCTCCCTCTCTCACTTGGTACAGTACGGAAGCTGCTGAGCGGAGTGCCTGCGGCGGAACGTGAGCGGAGTGTCAAGACGAGATTGACTAGAGGCGGACGGGCGGGCACCCAGCAGCAATAGAGGCGGGCTAGAACAGACCGGAGCAGAGCAGAGCAGAGCAGAGCAGCACGAGAGAAAGCAGGTGCAGCACCGTGAAGCCCCTGCGGAGTCCAACGGCGACTTGCCTGCAGCGCTTGGATTAGAGCTCTAATAGAACAGCCCTTCCCGTACCTACTGCTAGGGTTTCGTTAACTCGTCCCTAGGCGCGTGTCGCCGGAGAGATTTGTGCCCCTTTCCCGCCTACTAATCCTCCTAGGTTATGGCGTCATGTTGACCAGAAGCCACCATAGCAGTTGTCCCGCGGCGTGACACGCATGGGACTTTAGATGGACATTCAGGAGGCGTCTAAGATCCTCTACTCCCGACTGCAGTCGCTGGAAGGAGCCAACGCGTCCAAGCTACTCGGCTGGATGTTGATGCGCGAAAATGCCGACCAGGACCTTGCGACGCTCGCCAAGGGCTCGGACGCGCAGCTGATGTCCGCCGTTGGGATCGCCAAGCGGAACCTCAGCGTCTACTCCTCCATTCCCGGATGGCAGCATCAGGTGCCCGGCTTATTCTTCCACTCGTGTATATTTTTTCGTTCCTCTAGATTTTTTTTTTGGCACGGAAGCTTCAGCTGCCCGGATCCTTGTGGCAATAAATCGGTACCTGGCGATTAAGCCTTAATCCGCGAGACCGTTCCAATGCCGTGTTTTTACCGGGACGTGACTTTTCATGGGCGTATGCTCCTGGGAGTGGTGGCGGAAATTCGTCTACAGTAGGAGGCATCGGTGCGCATCTCTGGTCATCCCTTACCCAATGTTTGTGTCTTTTCAATATCATTATTAATCTATACCCCTCCAATTAATGTGTGCTGCAGGGCGTGCTGGCGGAGATCCGTCTTCAGCAGGAGAGCGCGGCGTGCATCTCCCGACAGCGTGCCGCCGCTCAGTCGCTCGTCCAACAGCCCGCTGCAGAAAGGTAGCTTTCTTTTAAACACGTTTTCTTTTAAACAAGTCGTAAGGCGCCTCAGAGTGTTGAGCGGAAAGGCAGGAAAAATAGTTTTAGACGCCTCAGGAAGACTTTGGCAGAAATGCAAACCGTTTTTAGCCGCTAATCTTTTCATCCATCCGCGCGCCTTCGAGTGCTTCCTAGACTATCTGTCCCTTCAGCGCCCTCACTACCCTACGGTCCCCGCGGCGCCCTGGGCTAACCATGGCGTGCTCTTCAGTCGCCACCTTCGATCGTCGCGTGCATTGCTATCCCCTCTCTCACTCCTCCCGTTTCGCCCAACATTTCCTGTCTCCTCCCATTTCGCCTGCCCATTCGCCTCGACAGATTTCAGCATTCCGAGCGCTTCTCGCTCCCCACGCAAGCAGCCCTCGCGTCGCTCTCCCCCGATGCGTCCCTCACTGATCCAACCGACGCCGCCGCTACCGCCACCGTCGGCGCTACCGCCGGCGTCGCCGCTGCTTCCGGCGCGGACCCTGCTGCGGCGGCAGCGCGGCCAATCCCCGCGGAAGCGCCCCCTCACCTCAGCGCATTACACGGCGCAAGCGGCGCGGCGAGCGACTACGGGTCGTCGCCCGAGAGCTCGCAGTCGTTTATGTTCAAGCGCTGCCACTACTTCGCGCGCGGCTTTTGCAAGCACGGCAGCGCCTGCCGCTTCCTGCACGCGTCGCACGGCCAGTCGGCGACGGCGCCCGTGTCGTCGCCCGGGTCGCCCAGTGCGACCAGCTCGGACGGCACCATGGCGGCTGCGACCTACCCCGAGCCGCAAGGCGCCGACGAGACTGCTTTGAGCTGCACGGCCGCGAGCGGCGGCGACGGCGGCGGTTCCGGCGGGGACGCTAGCGGGAGAAACGGCAGCGGCAATGGCGGTGATGGTGGAGAGCCCTTCGCTGGTAGTACTACCGAGGCAACCGGCGGCGGCGGCGGCGGCGGCGGCGGGGATGGCGGGGAAGGCGGGGATGGTAGTGGTGTTGGTGTGGCTGGCACGGCTGCTGGTGGGCTTGCGGGCGGCAGCCCGGGTTCTGCGGCGGGTTTCACGCTGGAGCGGCTCGAGATGGAGCTGCACGAGCTGCTGCGAGACCACAAGGGGCCTGTCAACGTGGCATCGCTCCCGCAGCTCTACGCGGAGCGGTTCGGGAAGCCGCTGCAAGCGGAGGGGTACTTAACCGAGAGCCAGCGGCAGGGGCGGCCCGGCCTAAGCTTAACTAAGTTGCTCGCGCAGATGAAGGCGTCGATCGCGTTCGTCGATCGGCCGAGCGGGCAGCGCGCGATCGTTGTCAAGGGGTCGCCGATTTTGGAGGAGTCTAAGAAGTTTATCGCGTTTAAGGAGCGCGCGGATTTGGCGCCGCCTAGTCCGGGATCGCGACAGATTTATCTCACTTTTCCGGCGGAGAGCACGTTCACGGAGGATGACGTGGCAGCTCATTTCAGGTACATGTGGCAGCCGTAGAGTTCATCTGCAGTTTCCTTATCCTTTCAAAGGTTCCCCTCCTTATCCAGTCTCCGCTTATTGCCCCCTCCCTCCCCCCCCCCCCAAGCATCTTCGGCCCGGTGCACGAGGTGCGCTTGCCGCACCAACAGAAGCGCATCTTCCGACCCCCTTCCCCTCGTGCTCCCCTTTCCTCCGACTCTCCCCCCCCGTTCCCCCATCTGGCGCGCAGCAAGTTCGGCCAGGTGCGAGTGCCGCTCCAGCAGCGCACGTTCGGCTTGACCCCCCTCCCCCCCCCCCCCCCCGCCTCTCACTCCCCAACTCCGCTACTCCTCCTCTTTCTTCCCCTTCAACCCCCCCTTTTTCCCCGCATCATCTCCGCAGCAAATTCGGCCCCGTGCAACCCGCGCCACATCGCCTCGTGCTTCCCCCCCTCATTTTCCCCCCGTCCCCCGACTGTCTCCCTCCCCTCCCCTCCCCGCCCCGCCATCCCAACCCCCCCCCCCCCAAACAGCAAATTCGGTCCCGTGCACGAGGTGCGCATCCCGCACCAGCAGAAGCGCATGTTCGGCTTCGTCACGTTCGCGTTCGCGCACAGCGTGAAGGCCATCTTAGAAGAGGGCAACCCGCACCACATCGGCGGCTCGCGCGTGCTTGTCAAGCCGTACCGCGAGAAGTCGCGCCACGGCCACGGCAGCGCGCACGGCGGCGGCGGCGGCGCGCACGCGGAGCGGAAGATGCGCGGAGGCGGCGGCGCGGGAGACCGAGGCGCGCAGGAGTCGCCGGCTAAGGGCTCCGTTGAACCGTACTCAGGTAGAGAAAGCGCGGGAGACCACCGCTGGACGGTCTGACCTCGTTAGTAGCTGTTTCGTTAATCGGTGATTACTCTCACATGTGCGTGCTATCTCTGTTACTGTACGTGGGTCTCATCTGTGCAGACGACTCCCCCCCGCCGCCCCTTCCCAAGGCCTCTAAGCGACTTTTCCCCGCGAAGCAGCAGCAGCTGATTCAGCAGCAGCAGCAGCGATCGCTGCAGCAGCCCCGGCAGCAGCAACCGCAATTGCAGCAGCAGCAGGAGCAGCAGGAGCAAGATCAGCAGGAGCAGCAGCCACCGCTACAGCAGCAGCAGCAGCAGCAGTACGAGCAGGGGCAGTCTCAGCAGCAGTCGCAGCAGTTGCAGCAGTCGCAGCAGTCGCAGCAGTTGCAGCAGTCGCAGCAGCGATCCCGATTGGAGGGCGGGTGGGGCGATCACAACCGTCCGATTCCCCACCACATGTCAGCCTCGTACGAAGCATCTCAACCCGCCACTCCTGCTGCCGCTGTTGCATCGGCTGCAGCCTCAGCCTACGCCCGTGCCTCTGTGTACGCGTCTGCGTCCGCCTCCTCCGCCTATTCGCCTGCTGCTTCTGCTGCTGCCTCTGTCTACGACCCGCCTCCTAGGCGCAAGAGCCTGTATCAGTCATTGTCTTATCGGGAGGTCTCTTTGCAGCAGCAGCAGCAGCAGCTTCCGCTGAACGCATGGCAGCAGCGGCAGCACCAGCAGGAGCAGCAGGAGCAGCAGCAGCAGCAGGAGCAGCAGGAGCAGCAGTGGCAGGTGCAGCAGCGGCTGCAGCAGTGGCAGGAGGAGAACCGGCAGTCCCTAGGGCTCAGTGGAATCCGCCTGGGGGACGTGGGAAGGGCGTTCTCTGGCCCAGCACGGAACGAGATTCGCGGTGCTGGTGCTGGTGTGGGGGCAGATGCTGGTGTGGGAACCGGTGTGGGTGTGGGCGTGGGTGTGGGTGGCATAAGCGATCTTCTCAAGCCGTCACTAAGCTTCTCCACCTCACTCTCTGCCGCATTCTCTACCTCCTCCTCCTCCTTATCCTCCGCGTCCTTCTCCTCCATCTCCTCCGGCTTTGCCTCTGGCCCGGCAGCCATGGCTCCGACCTTCAGTTTCGCCTCCTCGTCATTCGCCTCTCTGCCCAGCTTTGCGTCCTCCTCCACGGGCACAAGCGCCGCCTCCCAGTACCCGCACGGTAAGTCAATTCCCACAGTGAAAGTGGAATCTCGTTGGGCTAGTTTTGCCTCTTCACTTGCCTGTCTGCCCAGCTTTGCGTCCTCTTCAACGGGAACAAGCGCCGCCTCGCAATGAATACCCACACGGCAAGCTGATTCCTCCCAATTCCTCGGCTGTACGTTCTCCACTCCGCCACCCTGTTCCAGCTAGTTTCTACTCTTATTCGTTGCCCTCTCTGCCTGACCTCGCATCTACTGCCGCCAGTTTTAGCTCACGTTTCCTGTGATGTTGTCCGATTCCTGTGACCGCCGCGCTGCTTCCGCTTTTGAGGCGCTTAAAAAAAAAACCGCGTGAACTGAGACTGCTTTTGAAGCGCCTCAAGCGTTTCCTGCGATTGTCACGCTGCTTCCAGCTGCACGTTGTCATGCGGCGGGTTAGCTCATCACTTGAGCCTCTCTATCGAGGTGACTTTTGAGTCGACTCAAAAGATCCGCGTCTTTGGCAAGGCTAGTCCGTTTGCATTGAACCACTAACTCGATCCGCGTCCTCCGGCTATCTCTCTTATCCTCCGTACTTCTTGGGGCGTCCCTCTTCCGTGCCTTCTCTCCCTCAGGTGATCTCGGCACCCATGAGCCTCTCCCTCAACCGCCCACACACCAGCAGCTTGAGACCCCACTCCTGCGAGGCAACTCACTCCTATCTCCCCTCTTCCCCCCACTCTCCTGCTCTCCCCCTGCTGCCTTCCCCCCCCCGCCTCCCCCCCTCTCCTGCTTTCCCCCTGTTGCGTTCCCCCCCCGCGCCTCCCCCCCTCTCCTGCTTTCCCCCTGCTGCCTTCCCCCCCGCGCCTCCCCCATCGCTCCTTCAGGGGACCTTGGCGCGCCTGAACCTCTCCCTCAAACGCCCACACACCGGCAGCTCGAAGATCTCTTGTACGTGCCACAACCCCCCCCCCCCCTCGCCCCTCCCCCCTTCCCCCCCCCCCCCTTCCCGCCACCCTCACCTCCGCACTCTCCTCTTCCTCCTCCTCGCCCTCTCCCGCTCCTTGGCCTTCCGTTGGTTACTGTCTCGTTCCTGGTGGCTCCTCTCTCTTTCTCTCTCCACCTCCTTTCCGCCCTGCAGCTGTGTGCATGGGGAGGAAATGCGTGTCTAATGAGTTGATTTTTGAGTCGACTCATTACACACGGGCCCTGCATCTGTGTGTCACCATTTCCTCCCCCAGCAGCTAGCTGTGTGCCACCATGGGGAGGAAATGGTGACACCCCTCGTTATTTCCCCCCCCTGCCATCACCCCCCCTATACGTGAGGAGTCTATTTTTGACGCGCCTCGAAAATAGGCTCCTCACGCATCGTTTCCTCCCCCTGCCATCACCCCCCCTCATTCCCCCAACGTTCCTCGCTCTCTTCTCCCCATCCTCTCATCCCTTTCACGTCCCCGCTCATCACCAGCAACGCCACCACTATAGGCCCGTACGTTTCTCCCCCCTTCCTCTCTCCCCTCCCCCCCCTCCCTCCCCCCTCTTCACCTCTTCCCCTTTCCCCCCAAACCCTCCTCTCTCCCCTTATCATTTGCAGCGACCTGCACTCTCTGCTGCCCGATAGCCCCTTCACCTCCCCCCTCATGACCAGCACCGCGTCAACCAAAGCCTCATTCCGTGGTTTCCCCCCCCCCACCACTCTTCTCCCTCTCCCCCCTCTTCCTCTTCTCCCCCCCAGCGACCTGCACTCTCTGCTGCCCGACAGCCCCTTCACGTCCCCCCTCATGACCAGCAACGCGTCCAAGGACCTCCCTGCCACTGCTGCCCTCACTGCGGCCAACGCTGCCGCATGGGACGACACAGACCGCCCGGGAGCCATCCCCTCCGCCTCCTCTGTTGCCCTCTCTCGCTTCTTCAACCCCTCTCTCCCCGCCCTCGCGCCTCCGCCGCCTCCTCCCCCTCCTCCCCTGCATCTGCACTCCCTGTTGCCGGCATCTTCAGTGGTGAGTCAAACGCGTCGGGCCTCGTTCGGCGGCGTGTCGTCTGCGGCGTCGGCGGCTGCGGCTCCCTTCTCGAATGATCCTTTCATCATCCCTCCCTCTGCTGCTTTTCACCACCAGCAGCACCAGCAGCAGCACCAGCAGCATCAGCAGCATCTGCACCAGCACCAGCAGCATCTGCACCAGCACCAGCAGCAGCGCCAGCAGCACGTGGCAAGCACAGCAGACCTACCAGGGGCAGCAGGGCTCTATCTCTCTGGCCCCTCCTCCCTGTGGTCACCACCGGTCGCCGCGTCAGGTTCTTCAGGTGTTTCTTCAGGTGCTTCAGGTGTTTCGTCAGGTGCTACTGGCAGGGCCGTGGGCCGTTTAGCAGGTGCTGGTGGCGTTGGGGGCTCAGAAGGAGCAGGAGGCGGTGGATCCTTGCAGCTCACGTCCTCTATTGGAGGACTCTCTATGGGGGATGAGAAGCAGCACCAGCACCCGCACCAGCATCAGCAGCAGCAGCAGCAGCAGCATGGGAAGGTGGTTGCGAGTGTGTGGGGCCATACATGTGACTCTTGCTCTGGTGAGTGGATAACCACAGTTCCCCTCTGCGCCCCCGCCCTGTGCTCCATGTAAGGTCACTCCAGTAGGGATTTCAAAATTCCAATTCGTACCACTTAGCGCCCCTCTTGATCTCTTGCAGACGTTTCCTGTCCTTCACATCTTACCTCCCCCGGAAACGACCTGCATGGTGCAGCGCTTACCTGCAGGCCCCGCCACTGCTTAGCTCCTCCCCCTGCTGCTGCTGCTGTTTTGACCACGGCTGTGCCTGCTGTCCTCTCATCTCCCTCCCCCAGAAGCGACCTACTCCATGCAGCTTACCTGCAGCCACTACCTCTGCCTGACGCCGTTTGTGCGTGTCTCTGCCTGCTTGTGTTTCCCCTGTCCGCTGATCTCCCCTCCCCCAGAAACGGCCTACACCACGCAGCTTGCCTGCGGCCACTACCACTGCATCAAGTGCGCTCCGCAGGTGAGGGTGCAGAGGAGGGGTGTGTGTGTGTGGGGGGGGTTGGGTATGGGGGGGTTGGGTGGAGAAAGTGGAAAATAATTCTCCCTTGGTTTTCCCCTTCTTGCTGCGCTTGCTCTCTTTAGCCAAGCGGTGCCGCTCGCAGTCACCTTTCTTTGATGTCCAGCGCGTCTCTTCCCTTGCATGAATGAAGAGTCTATTTTTGAGGCGCCTCAAAAATAGTCTCCCCCCTTGAATGACATTTCTGAATCTACAGAGGCCGTCCTTGTGGTGGTGCATTGCCTGCCAGTGTGAGTCTATTTTTTAGTCGACTAAATATTGCCTTCCAGCACACGGCCTACCAGCCGCATGGCACATTGCTAGTCGTGTCTCATGTGCACATATCTCTTTCCCTTTCCCTTCTCCCCTCTCCTCCCCTTCAGGGCCCTGCCTCGTGGTGCGTTGCTTGCCAGCACGCCGCCTACCAGCCCCCTTCTGCCTACCACATCGGTCAAACTGCCTGGAAGCTTCCCTCGCAAGAAGCTGCCTGGAAGGTGCCTGCCCAGGAATCTGCCTGGAAGGTTGCTCCGTCGCAGCTGCAGCACACGAATCGGTCCCCGTCCTGGTGAGAGGATAGAGAGACCGGTACCGGGCGGCATGCTTTTCATTCCGAGGCTGGACACACATGCTGTTCATTCCGAGGCACTTTTTGAGGCACATCAAAAGAGTGGAGAGCAGGAAACAAAACACATATTTAGTTCAAAGGCGGCTGAACAGAGACCCCTGTATGGTCGGAGTTTTAGCGAACGTGCGAGGATAGAGCAGGGCTGGCACATCATATGTGCATGCTGCCATGGCACGCTGCCAGCATCATATGTGCACGCTGCCATGCGCATATCGCCATGTGCGCTGGCGGCCGGAGAAGGCAGTAGTAGTGATGGCAACAGTGGGGTGCTGGGACAATGGCGGCCCCTGGATTGGGGACATTAGATTAGGCAATAGGGTCGGTGGTACATTGGAAAGAGATGCTTTTGCCAAGAGATGGGGCAGAAACATCCGTTGCAGCAGGAGCAGCAGCAGCAGCAGCAGCAGCAGCAGCACACCAGACCACCAGTGCTGCTGCACCAGTGGGGTTTTGACATTGGTACATTTTTCCTTGTGCATTATGCATGAGGACGGCTTTGGAGGAGGGGAGGGAGGTGGGGAAGGGAGTGGTTATGGGCGATGCGTGGAGGGGTGGACACTCGGACGATACGGACGATACACTCTGGTGATGCTTACCTGGGCGGCATGGGCTGCTTTGTTGTTAGAATAGACTCGTTGCTTGTGGCACGTGAAGCAGAAGCAGCAGAAGCAGAGAAGCACGAGCAGCAGCAGCAGCAGCAGCAGCAGCAGCAGAAGCAGAAGCATAAGCAGCAGCAGCAGCAGCAGCAGCACAGCGACCCATCTGACATAAAGCGCACAATGGCTTTCCACATGGCGCACAAGACACACTTGGATGCAGCAAGGAGGAGTCTATTTCTGAGGCGCCTCGAAAGGAGACTCCTGCGCACAATGACTCTAAATGGCGCACAAGCCAACTTTTGGGTGGCAGCTGGGGGCAGATGCACCTACATGTTGAGGCGCGCCTATTGGCGTGTTCTCATGCTGCCAAGGTGCCTTTACCAGATACTGCAGGGAATCAGGAGGAGCAAGGGCGTGTTCGCATGCCGCCCCTGGATAGCACTCTGAAATAGCAGCTGTAGCCCAAACATCCCCCCTCCCCTCCCCCCCCCACCCCTTCCCCTCCCCTGCCCCACCATTTGATATTATTGGGCTCTCGTGCTTGATAGGCCTAGGACACGGGACAGCATTACCGGTAGGTCCCCCTCTTCACAAGAGGTAAATCTAAACCGTATCGCGACGCTGGGGTGGCCAGCTTAGGTGAATAGGTAGCAATGGATTGACTAATTTATGCACTTCGGTTCCCTAGGTCGTGTACCTGGTAGGCAGTTTAAATCATTGAATGACTTCAGCAGTGGGAAAACCCCAACCAGATCCATAGCCTTCACTGAACCTGTGGCACAAGCAGTTGTTGAAGCATCAGCTTTGAACAACCCTTGTGATTTGCTCCCTGATTACCCAGTACGGTTGCGGAATGGTGAGTAGTAAGACAACGGAAGTCTTAGAACTTACGGAAGTGTTGACCAGAATTTACTGAAGAACAAGTTCATAACTGAAGTTGTACAAACTACTTTTATATCTGCTAGAAGGACCTATTCGGTAATGTATCCGCTCAAAACTATTTTCGCTATGCGCTCTAACCGCTACTGAAAAGAGCGCGACTGTTCGCGTGACAGAAACGGCCTGCTGACGTAATCATCCAGACGAGCGCTATTTGCTGACGTCATTCTACGGATGCTAGCTACAGTGTAACTCGACAATATCTATCAGAACTACTTACATAAATGCTTAAGTACGACTTTATCACAACACATACATGGTATCGACGGTACCTACATCCAGTGGGCCATCTCAGCAGCAAACGGATCTACAGAATCGGGTCCTGATCTGGTCTGTGGAACTGATGGCTGCCATGCCATTGCAACAACTGGTTACTGGTACTCTAACCTGCGCTTGGCAACGCAAGTGATCCACCGCTCTTGAAAAGCCATGCTCCAATGTCACTCACAGGGGCACACATGAATGTGTTGCTGCGGTACTGCGGCATAGACTGGCTCTACCCACAAGTACCAGAGCCTCTCCTCCCATGCTGCCCTTCTGATCTCTCCCCCCCCCCCCCCCCCCCCCCTTTCTAATTCTGCTGCTCCTGCTCTCCTCTGCCCCTGATCCTGATCCTGCTGCTGCAGCTAGGGCTGTTGTGCCGCATGCACTCCCGACTGTGTTCCGCCACTGTTAAAAGCAGGTTGTAACCTCCCAGTACCAGCCTCACTACCATCACGCTTCTGCTCCCCATTCCTCTGCTGCTCTGCTCCTGCCCTCCTCTCTGTCCCAAGTTGCCGCTGCGCCGGCGCCGCCGCTTGTGCTGCTGGTGCTGCTGCTCATTCTGCTCATGCTGGCTGTGGCTTTCCAACACCGTTTCCTCTCCCCCCCCGCCCCCTCCCTTCTCATTGCTCAGCTGCTCCTGCTGCGGCTGCGGCTGCTTGCTTGGGTTGCGGCAGACACTTTTTCAAAAACGTCTCAAGCACAGCCGAGTAAACTTCCGGGAAGGTCCGGTAGTGGTCAACGTGCGGGGACCAGTCAAACCTCTTAGCCAAGACGGTGCATCCGCGCGCCCTCTGCCTCGTGATGAACGACTCCACAGCTTGTGCGGGAATGACTGTGTCTGCCGTGCTGTAGAGGTACAGCTGAGGGCACTGCGGCTGCTCCGAAGCGAGTGTGCTTGTGACTGTATCGAGCTTGCTGTGAATGCGTGGCAAGCAATGGACGTGGGGGAAAGGGGGAGAGGTGGAGAGTGCAGGAAGGACAGACTTCTGAGTCAGAAAACAAGCAGAACCGCAACGATCAGGGACATTTGAGATACATGACAATGTGAGCCGACACATGCCAGTGTGAGCAAACATGTAATGATGCAACATGAGTGGAGGGTGACATCCATGCATCCTTTAACGTACGTCTTGACGACGGGGACCTGCAGCAGCCACGTGAAGAACCTCCTCAGGTGGCACACACATGACAATGCGAGCAACCACGTGGCCATGCCAAACATGTAATGATGCAACATGAGTGTAGGGGACCATCCATCCATCCATCCATGCATCCATGCATCCATCCATGCATCCATGCATCCATGCATCCATGAATCCATCCATCCATCCATCCATCCATCCATCCATCCATCCATGCATGCATGCCATGCGAGCACGTACGTCTTGACAACGGGGACCTGCAGCAGCCACGTGAAGAACCTCCTCAGCACGCTCAGCAGCGTTTTCTCCACTGCATCCTCCTCCGCCTTCACCACTTTCCCCCTCCTCCCCTCCCCCTCCCCCTCCTCCACCACATCTATGTCAGCGTTGATCGACGCGAAGCCCAGGGAGCTGCGACGGTGTTTCTGAGCGTCGGGCCCTGCGGCTTGCGCTTCGTCTCTAGGCTGCGCTTCCCACTCGCCGCCGTCTGTCACTCCCCACATCTTCCCAGTACCCTCCTTCCCTTCCCCAGCCGAGACTTCCGAGTCAGCAGCAGACGACGCGGGTGGCTCAGCGGCGGCGGGAACGGCCTTCCGCCCTGCGCGGGTGGCGGAGCTGCGCTTCTGCAGGATGGCGGCGGCGAATCCGCGCGCCCACACCTGCGGATCCTGCTCCAGGATCGGCGCGGAATCGACCACGCACCCCTTGATCGCCACGTCGACAGCCGCCTTGCCGAACTTCTCATGGAGCCGATTAAGTACGGCTCCGTACGCCAGCCACCCCGTGTTGCTGAACGTGTGGAATATCAGCGTGCGTGGCTCTTTAGGTGGTTCCACGTGGTTCACGGGAGCTGATGACGTGGCGGATAAGGCTACCTCTGGACCAGTCCCCGAGAGCCACCTGTGCAGCTCGTCGACTAGACTGTCCACGTGGATCTCCGCCTTCTCTCCAGGTCGGATACTAAGGACGTCCTTAAACGGGATAACGAATGTGATTACATCGAACCCGCGTGACGTGTACCACTCTGCGTACCGCCGCAAATGACGCTGCTGCGCGCCGAGCCACCCCAGCAGCACCACCACCGGCTTCGCCACTTCTGACTTCCCGGTCCCAGAACCATCAGAATCACCGGCTACTTCGTCGCCGTTAGATCCGACGGCTGGCCGGTGCCATTGGTGGAAAGGCTTGAACGAACTGACGTCGCCGTTAAAAGGGCCGGAAACCAGTGAAGATGACGGCGGTATGGAGAATATATGACCCAAGGGGAATCCGAAAGTGTTACCACCCGGGTTGCCATAACTTGCTGTGACCGATCGTTGAGATAATCGCGTGATCGGGAAGAGGGTCGACGGTGCGATAAGGCGGGAAAGCTGCTGGCGGGAAGGCGAAAACAGGCGATTCAATTTTAGCGTGTATGGAATAGGCGATCCTGTAAACGTGCTGCTTAAACCTCTGTACGATACTGGTGGTAGATAATACGAGGCGGGAGACGCGGGATGGTATGGGATGGGAGAGGCGGCGGCGAGGCTAGACTCCGGGCAACGAGGGGTAATTGCGGCGGCGGTGGCGGATCGGAGAATCACGGACGATGCTACCGCTCCCCCGGCCGTTTTGAACCGCGACGCGGCAGGATCGGCTATGGCGTGCGTGAAGCGGTGGTGACTAGAGGTGGTAGCGGGAGACGCGGCCATGGCGGAGTGAACGAGCACGGCAGGGGAAGCAGCGGCGCGGCGATCGCCGGGGATGTCGGAGCTGACTGCTGCTGTGGCGACCGCTGCAGCCGCTGCCGCCGCTAGCGTCGGAGCGGCAGTGGTTGAAACGCGAGCGACTAACTGGCTAGCCATAATCGCGGATCGGGTCACCTGGCTAGAGCTGGTCGCCTGGCGAACTGGACTCAGTCAGTCCCACGACTCTCGAGTATGACGTAAGATCGAGGTGGGGCTTCCGAGAGTCGAAGGTGCGAGAGCAGTGGTCCCACCCACCGACCTGCCTCCGCAACTAACGCTAACTCGTGACCACCACAGATCAACACCAAATGACAGCGGTGTCGTCTAATATGAACACTTTGTGGGGTAAGTATTCGCGGGATGGGTACTTTCGAAACATTTTGCATCAGAGTCTGAATTAGAGCTACCTCATGCGACTTTTTGCTGTTTTTTATTCTCGTGATGTGAAGTATTGACTTGTTTCATGTCTCCTGGCAAAAAAATGTGAACGTGTCCAAACCAGAAATATTGGGATTATGCGGAATGTTCGGGCAGGGATGAAAAAGCAATATTACCCATAGGGGCCTGCATCAACCCTAAACTCGCTAGAGGGCCGCGAATTTAGGGGTTTACCCATCCCCGAATGGCAAGCAGGCCCCTAAGGGTTTTTCTTTTGCCCGTTAAGATGCTAAAGCTTCTTCTGCTATCAAATGGACACGTGTCGCGAATATTTGCCATGAGACATGAAACGAAACAGTAGTTCACATGACTAGAATGAGAAATAACAGAAAGTCACATGAGGTAGCTCTAATCTAGACGGAGATGCAAAATGTCTTGATAGTACCCATCCAGCAGATACTTCCCCTTTTTGTGGCATCGCCAGGGGTCACAAAAAGGTTCAGTACGTTTCATATATACTTCAGAACCTTTAAAGGGTGGTGAACTTCGGTGCCACGGCGTCACAACGCCTTGAGAGCTGCTTCAGTCGGGCACCCTCCCCCCCCCCACCAACCAACCAACCAACCAACCTCGAAACGACACTGGCCCCTACAGTTCACACCTCACACGCAGCGCAGAACCAATTGCGGCGAAGTTGGTTCCCTCGGTGTGGGCCAGACATTTGCGCGCCCAATTGCTGCTGTGCAGGGGATCTGGGACCACTTTTGCTGACATGTCCAGAAGGTGCTTCTGGCGCACAGTTGTTGGAGCGGCGAGGTGGGTCCGTCCAGGGAGTATCTGCCAGATGCTTGTTGACCTGGCCTTTCTTTTGCAGAGATCATCGTTACGAGCTCAATGCGGTTTTCGAATGTGGTGAAGTGGCGAGCACTATACATGTCGTCAAAAGCCGCGGGCAAATGTTGAGAGAATTTGTGAAAAGGGGCCTCCAACTGGTACCGGAAGTCAGTGGAACCTATGGAGAAACGTCTGGCATGCCGGGTGTTGGGCTGAGAAAAGCCCTTAGGATCTTTTGCAGAGACTAAGTCCCAGCTGTAGAGACTTGAGACTTGGAGTAGTGCAGCGGAAGTTGAGGCAGTTGAACCCTTGTACTAGTATGTGAGAACAAGTGATTGATTAAAGAAACAAGCATACAGCAATATATAGAAGATAAGAAAGCAGTTGTAGAATACAGTTACAGGAACGGTTTATCGAGTCGCACAGCGACTCGATTGCCGCTTCGGTTACCATCCGTGATGTTGTAACGGTCAGTCGCAACCTCCAGTTGCGACCTTTCGAGTCCTTTCGCATTCTTTGTCCGCCCCCTCGTGTAACCTCCGTTGACTCGCGTGCTCCCCTGTAATCTTCCTCGAGTACAGTGTTACACTTCAGAAACGCTTAAGTCCTTGAGATATTTCCAACACTCCCCTTCGTTTCTGGAGTGCTGGAGTGTTCAGATCCGGTGACGTTTGTTTGCCCGGTTAGGAGCATGCAGTAGTCGAATTTTGCTTTCGCCAATTTCTTCGTCAGATAATCTGAGGCCATTTCTGTCGTCGGGCAGTAACTGAGTTGAAGTCTCCCCTTCGCGATTTCATCCTTAACGAAGAAGTACCGCAGGGCGATGTGCTTGGTTCGGTTGGCGAAGCCGTCCTTGTTCGAGATTTTGATCGCAGATTGGTTGTCGCAGAGGAGTGAGAAGGCGGGCAGGGTCGCGATCTTCGCTTCTTCGAGTAACTCTCGTAGGTAGAGTCCTTCCTTGGTCGCAGTACAAAGGGCGATATACTCTGCTTCAGCCGAGGATAGTGCGATTAACTCCTGCTTGCTCGACTGCCAGGAGATAGTTCCGATAGGTTCTAGTCGGTAGATGTAGCCCGTCCTAGACCGTCGATTTTCGCTGTCTCCCGCGTGGTCGGCGTCGACGTATCCGAGTAGTTGTACGGACGGTGTTGTTGCCTTGCTGTAGGTGAGCCCGATCGTCGGCGTGGAGACGAAGTAGAGTAGCGCTCGATTGAGTTCTTCGAGATCTTCCTGTTGCGGCTGCTTCAGATGTGTCGCCAGCTGACTCGCACTATAGGATAGGTCGGGTCGGCAGGTTACTGCTGCGAATAGTAGGCAGCCGAGCTTCTGTTGATACTCCTGGATTTGTTTCGCGGGGAGTTTTGTGGAGGCGCTACTGTTGTTCCCATAGCGGTAGGGAGTTGGGACCGCAGTCGGTGCTAGACCGAATTTCTTCGCGACGGTGCTTGAGTACTTTCCAGCGTGTAGGTAGAACGCCGTGTCGTCTTCGACGATGTTCAGTCCTAGGTACTGGGTAACTTCGTCGGACACCGTGAGCGTCAGGTCCCTTTTCAGCTCCCCTTCGAACCAGGTGACGATGTCGGTGGTAGAACCGATGTAGAGCAGGTCGTCGACGTAGACGATGAACAGAATGTAATCTCTTCCCTTCTGTAGTCGGTACATGCCTTGGTCATGTGGTAGCTGTAGGAATCCGATTTTTACGAGCCGGCCGTGAAGGTGCTGCTGCCAGAGCCGTGGGGCTTGCTTGATCCCGTAAAGGGATTTTTCCAGCTGGCATACTTTTGAAGGGTCGTCGATGAATCCGTGGGGTTGTTCGACGAAGATTTCGGCGTCCACAGGTGCGTACAAGAAGGCGTTTGCAACGTCAATTTGCCGTAGTGGTAGTTTCTTCGTGGCCGCGATGGCGAGTAGGATGCGCAGAGAGGTGTGACGGGAGACTGGAGCGAAGGTTTCTGTGTAGTCGGTTCCGTATCGTTGATCGAAGCCTCGTACGACCCATCGAGCTTTGAATCGTTCGATGGAGCCGTCTGAGTTGGTCTTGATGCGGTACACCCATTTCCCCGAGAGAATGTTCTTCCCGTTGATGCTCGTTGCAGGTACCAGTTTCCATGTTTCTCGGTCTTGCAGAGCTTTTAACTCTTTTTCCATCGCTTCCTTCCATTGTGCCTTATGTTCCCCCCCCAGAGCCTGCGACAGGGTCGACGGCTCGCGCGGAGAAGGCGGCGGCGGGTGCTGGACGGAGACCCATAGTCCTAGGATCTGCAGTCCCGTGGCTGTGTGTCGAGGGGAGTTTTCATTCTCGGGATAAGCTGCTTCATCACCGTCTTCAGGATCGGGTAAGAAGTTTGGCCCGATGCGTTCGGAAATATTCGAGTCGACGGGGTGTGGTGTAGCGTAGCCTTGGTCAGCGAAGTGGTAAAAGGTGTCGAGGTTGTTGCTATCGAGGGGATTATCTTCATCGAGTGGAACAGGTACGGAGCAGTAGGGGAGTGGTCCGGCAGCCTCCGAGGCTCCAGGGACGTCTTCTTCTGCTGCGTCAGCCTCGGCAGCATGGTCAGCGAAGGAGCGAAGGCCCGCGAAGCCGTCGGTGGGGTCGTCTGAGTTGGCAATGTTGTCCAGGTAATGCTGCAGCGTCAGTCGCTCGTAGAAGATAACATCACGTGATGCCACCGTATTTTTGTCGTGTATGTCGAGAATCTTCCACGCGTGAAAATGTTTGGCGATGCCGAGGTGTAGTCCCCACCGAGCTCGTTGAGTGAAGCGTCCTGCTCGAGCTGTGTGGGGTCTGTATTGTACCATGCAGCCGAAAACTCGAAGTAATTTTGTGCTGCCCCTTTTTCCCGTCCACAGCAGGTGCGGTGATGCGTTGTTGGGGAGCGATGACGAGGACAACAGGTTGTGCAGGTGGACTGCATGTGTCATCGCGTCTGGCCACAGTGTATTGGGCAGCCTCATCCCCAGAAGCAGTTTTCGCATCGTCGTCTGCAAGGTCCGGTTCATGCGTTCTGCTACCCCCTGCTGCTGGTGAGCATAGGGCAGAGACACCAGGCGTCGGATTCCCCTTTCCGCGAGATAGGTCCTGAAGCGTTGTGACTGGTATTCCAGTGCACCGTCTGACTGGAAACTCTTGAGTTTGGTTCCTGACTCTCGTTCGGCGATTGGAAGCCATGTGGTGAAGGCCTCGAAGGCTTGATCGCGCGTTTTGAGATTGAAGTGCCAGACGTATCTGGTTGCGGCGTCGATGAACGTGATGACGTAGTTGAAGTCGGCTTCGGTGTCGTCTCGAGGCATGTTTAGAATATCGCTGTAGACCTTTTCCATCGGAGCGTAAGTGGGTGCGCTTGGATTGTGATGGGCTGGGAAAGGTTGATGAGGAAGATCTGCTTCGGGGCACGTGAAGCATCGTGCTCTTGGTCGGCGAAGTTCTTGGCCGCTCGTCGTTAGAAGGGCGTTACGTTCTAACACCTCTGCTTGTATTGTTTGTAGTATCGTGCTGTTTGCAGGATGTCCGAGACGTTGGTGCCAGATGTCGTCGGGAGCGCGGTGACCGGGCGAGCGGTGGTAGATGTCGGCGTTGGAGAAGAACGCGACGACCGAGGCGGGACTTCGACAAGCTTCTCGTGTGGCGGGCATAAGTTGGTCTGCTTCCGTTGGCGGTCCTCGTGTTGATGGTGGTGGTACTCGGCTGGGTCCTGCTGCCGATACTGCAGGTGATGGTTTTGTTGGGACGCTTGCTGGTACTTGTCTTTCTTGTCTGATAACTGCTAATGCCCGTGTTCTCTCTGCTGCAGGTATGGTGTTGGAGTGCCAGAAGCCGTCACTGTCGAAGTCGGGATCAAGATCTGGTGGGTGAGTCCAGGCGGCGAACGATACGATGCCATCGCTGTCGGCAGTTCCGCGGTCGGGGACGAAGTCCAACACGAAGACACCGGACTTCAGGAGGGCACGACCGATGAAGAGACCGCCCTTCCCGTGGTAAAGTCGGAACTCGTTGGAGAAGGAGTCGCACTCCAGGTGAATCCCCTTAGCCATTAGTTGGCTTACGCTTAGTAGGTTGTATCCCAGATTGTCGACGATGAGGACTTTGTTGAGCTGAAGAATAACGTTTGTCTCCATTGATTGTAACTGAACCACGCCTTGCCTGTTTGTTTTCAGGTTTTCGTTGTTGGCGACGGTGATGACGACGTCGCGGTTGAGGCGTCGCTCGTGTTGTACGAAGCGTCCGGAGGAGCACATGTGCTGACCGCAGCAACTGTCCAAAAACCAGGTGTTCCGCCCGGTGGGTTCGGCGTTAGCGACTGCAGCGTATGTCGGGTTGACCTGAAGTCCTTGCGAGCGCGGCGGCGGGAATTCCTCTTCGTCTGGTGCGTAAGTGGGTGGTGAAGCGGGTGCGCAGTTGTCGATGTGTACCATGCAGTTGATGATGTTGGGTGTTTGTTGTGCAGATGTTGAAGAGCGCCTTGGAGGACTTGCTTGAGTGGAAGCGACTTGTGGGTCTGCTGCACGGTAAACGCGAGGGCGGTTGCAGTTGACCTTGGAGTGCCCGGAAGTCTGACAGTTGTGGCAGAACGGCGGCACGATGGTGAGTCCTCGGTTGTCGCGTTGATCTTGCTTGCTGCGTCGGTTGTAGTTGTTGTCATTTCTTCTTTGAGTGTAGAAGACTAACTGCTGTTGCTTCCTTGGTTGTCTTTCCTCGAACAGATCCATCTCCTGTTGTTCAGCGTGAAGCTCGGCGCAGAGGTGCATCTCCGAAATTCTTCCGTGGGCTCGAAGAAGTGATCGTGTGGTTCTCCATTCTGGCCCGAGCCCGGCGAGGACAAGTGTCACGAAGCTTTCTTCAGTGATCGTTCCTCCGCACCGAAGCAGGCGGTCGCGGAGGGTCTGGCAGCGACTCATATACTGCATCGCCTTTTCCCCGGTCTTCATCTGTATTGTTGTCAGCTGTTGCATGAGTCTGCTTTGTGTCACGCTGTCGTTTGCTTGGTAAAGGCATTTGAGGTGGTGCCATGCGAGCTCCGCGGAGTTTCCATAACTCCGATACGTTCTGATGCTCTGCTGCTCTTGTGGTGACAGGTTTCTCAGGAGTACCGTGTACGCCAGCAGCGACTGATACGTGAAGATCTCTTGTTCCTTCCCAGTGCCGTTGCTTGGGAATGGCAGGGACCCGTTGAAGTATCCCAGAAGATGCGCGGCCTCCATCAGCAGCTCAAACTCGAAGCTCCAGGTAAAGAAGTCGTGTCCGTTGAACGGTGAGGATGTCTGAAGTTTGATCACGTGTGAGAACTGCGCCTGTAAACTTAAGATTTCATTCGGTGTTTGTTGTGAAGCAGCTGCTGTTGGCTGGGCACGGGGCGGCATGAATTCGAACGTCCCCGGCGAAGAATGATAAGGCGCAAAGGTAGGCGCTTGGTTGTGTCGCCCGAAGGATGAGTTGTCGAGGCTCATCGGCGCTAATCCCATATTCCCTCCATTGCTCTGTGTTGAGTGCGCAGGTGTCCTTGTCTGCTGCTGCTGGTCGAAGTGTGACATGAAGCTGAAGAATCTCTCCATGAGATTCGGGTCCACACTTGAAGAGGGAGACGGAGTCACCATCTCTGGTACTCTTCCCGTTGTTTCTTGAGTAGTCCCGGTCTCTGTCTGCAGTCCTGAGGTGTGCAGACCAGAGTTGCCGTGTTGAGTTTCTTGGGCGCTGGGTGAGCCCGTAGAGACTTTCTTGCCCTTGTTGTCCATGTCTTGTAATCAATGGAGTTGTTGAATCAAGTTGAGTTGTTGGTTGTTGATGGAGTGTAGTTGCTGGGAGTTTTGATCTCTGACCAGCTCTCATACCATGTTGGGCTGAGAAAAGCCCTTAGGATCTTTTGCAGAGACTAAGTCCCAGCTGTAGAGACTTGAGACTTGGAGTAGTGCAGCGGAAGTTGAGGCAGTTGAACCCTTGTACTAGTATGTGAGAACAAGTGATTGATTAAAGAAACAAGCATACAGCAATATATAGAAGATAAGAAAGCAGTTGTAGAATACAGTTACAGGAACGGTTTATCGAGTCGCACAGCGACTCGATTGCCGCTTCGGTTACCATCCGTGATGTTGTAACGGTCAGTCGCAACCTCCAGTTGCGACCTTTCGAGTCCTTTCGCATTCTTTGTCCGCCCCCTCGTGTAACCTCCGTTGACTCGCGTGCTCCCCTGTAATCTTCCTCGAGTACAGTGTTACACTTCAGAAACGCTTAAGTCCTTGAGATATTTCCAACACCGGGGGAGGCACAAAGCCGGATGTTGCATGTGACAATTGGTGCAATGTGTTCATAGGGATGGGATGTGTGGAAGTCACCAACCCCCACCCCACCCACCATGGCTAGTGCACTCTGCTCTCAACCCTGCCAATTTTCATCATGATCGTCCAAAAATTACTCAAAACCATGCAAGACAATGCTGAATGCCAGCCAACTACTGCAACGACGTTGTGCTTTGGAGAGCGCAGGCGAAAGGAGTCCCTAAATAAGTACAGCTAATTCAACCAGGAGGACCCTGCACCAGTTACAGCTGTGTAATTGCACAGTTACACGGCACATGCATAGTATCGTAACTTACCTACACGAAGCCATCCATTGGTGGACTTGGAGCAGTTCACCTTCCAAATTCCCCTGTGCTGTTTTTTCCTGCAAATATGGACAGCACCTCTTGCTATTAGCCCGCTTGATGCTCCGTCCTTTCCTTAAGCATGAGAACCCTTCAACCCCAGCACCGTCAGCAGCAGCACCAGCAGCAGCAGCACCGTCAGCAGCAACACTGTTTATCCGCTTCCTGCTGCCCTGAACCCTCTCCTGCCTCTTCCTCCTTTACCATTAGCACAGGAATCCTCCCTGGAACTCCGGACAAAGCCCCTAGCGCCTGTGCTGCTGCGTCATCCTCCTCATTCCCTGGACCCCCATTCTCCAGCCTTCCTGCAATAAGAGTGCCTGATTCCCCCCCTCGCACGAACGGTCCCACAATGAAAAATGCCCACCACGCCTGGAAAGCCGCGTCCTTTTCAGCTAGGCCTTTCGTCGGGCAGGAAATGCCGGTGTAACTACCCCAACCGTTGGGTAGCTCGACTGTGGCTGTGAAAGAGGGGCAATGCGGTGGGCCTTCGCCGGTTGAGGTGTATACAGGCATGCCTTGTAACATCCGGCTGCAGTCGACTTGTAACAGGCTTTTCGCATCCGCTTTCGCGATTTCTCTCGCCAGCTCCGCTACGCGATTGGCGTCTGCCGGCGGTTGCGCGCCAGGACAGGACACATTTCCCAAGATGGCATTGCGGAACGCCGCTCTGTACGCCAGCAGCTCAGCATCCTTCTTCTTAAATCCGACCGGCGGGTATTGGGCCCCAGGTGGAATGGCCTCCTTAGAGATCCGCTGATACGCTTCGGGCAGCCCGCGGAAAGTTTTGGAGCCGAAAGTGACTTGAAAGTCCCAGTTGAGTTGGTGAGCGGGGCCTGTCGGATTGATGAGGGCTGCGTGAGGCGGCTCGAGGCCGAGCGCCGACCCGAGATTGAGTAACAACTGCACGTACATTGTAACCGCCTGGATGCCGTTCTAAGGCGCCTGACAAGGGCTGCTGCCTGAAATGTTGCTGCTGCTCCTGAAGTGCAATGCTAGAGCGTACCGTGAATTAGAGACGGAACGTGGCGGAAAACAAGGGCCCAGATAACGGGAGAATGTCAAGGACAGAAAAATTCCCAATCCCTTCTATGGTCGGACCATACTACGGTGGGAGACCCTGGTGTCTAGCGTCGCCGTCGAAACAGATCACAGCATAAGCCCGTCTACAGTCGCACGACCTGTCCCTCCTCTTGTACTAACCACAGTACGAGGTCAGGAGCTAGCTAAGAATGTCCGCAACTAAGGGAGGAGCTTCTGCTTATGATGCGTAAGAGCGGGTTCAAAGTGACCTTGCCCCCAACGTTGGCCTAAATCCGACATCGTGCCCTCCTAAGCCGACGTTGTGCCCAAACTGCACTTTGAACACCTTCCTTAGCGCTGTACTGTAGCTCTGCTACAGTAATCCAGGGTAGTCGCCCAAGTATTGCATCCCAATGTACTCTCTAAAGGCATAGACCTAACTAGCCTATACTAACATATTGCATATATGTTTGACACACCCCCAAGGCTAGACAATGGGTAGTGCCGAGCAAGAGACACGCAACTCAGGGTGGCACTACTAGTCCAACCTCTGAGGCAAAAGTCTGAAGACCAGTCAGGAGAGTACAAATAAGACAAGAGCAAACCAGGGCGGCACTACTAGTCCTGCCGCTGGACTAGAGGCCACAAGGCCAGTCATAAGAATATAATACGAGTAGTACACAATCAAGGCCCTAGCAAGTGTGAAGCTACAACACCTAGACCTAGCTGTACACAGTGTCGCTCATGATGTTTATTCGCAAGCGCTTCAGTAAAGATCTCATATGTGTTGGCACCGGAGGCCAAGTGAACTACGCGAGCCTGGCGGCGCTGCTATAGCTCGCGCAGGAGGAAGTATCGCAGCTGGATGTGCTTCGCTCTGCCCTCAAGTCGAGGCTCCTGACACAAGAGGATCATGACCCTGTTGTCAGCGTACAGAACCGGGGCAGAGCTAGGTCGCTCACCTAAGTCTATGAGCAAGAAGGTCAGCCATCGGAGCTCCTGTGCCGCCATGGCACCAGCGTAGATCTCAGCCTCACAACTAGACTGTGCAACAGACGGCGAGCGGGTGGACCTCCCAGGAGTGGGTGCCCCTGCACCAAGGCTAAAGCAGTAGCCCTGGGAGGACCTGAGGGTCTCAGCGTCGTCTGCCCAAGAAGCGTCAGTGTGCCCTGTCAGGACCACTGGTCTGCGTCCTCCTAGCACTAACCCCATGCCCGATGTACTTGCTAGATAACACAAAACCCTCTTAGCTGCCGACCAGTTCTATGGTCGGTGTCTCCCTATGGCCACAAAGCGCGCCAGGATGCTGAGAGGGTATGCGAGATCTGGACGAGTGCAAGTCATCAGACCAGGTCGTCTACGTAGACAGGGATGTAGAACGGGGTCTGGCCAGAACAAACGAAGAGGGAGGGGTCTGCTGACGACGGGAAGAACCGCAGGTCAGCTAGGGTAGCACGCAGCATGTCGCGGCACTCGCGAGGCACTTGCGGAAGGACGTAAACCATGCACCGAAGCAGCCACTTGGTCCCTGGGTTGAACGAGCCAGTGAAGCCTAACGGGCGACGCATGTAGACCTGCTCGTGCAGACAGCCCTGAAGAAACGCTGTGGAGAAGTCGAGAGAGTGCAGCTCGTAGTTACGCTTTGCTGCTACGTATAGCAGCGCACGAAGAGTGGTCATCTTCGGAGTCGGGGCGAAGGTATGAATTAATTCAAAACCCTCGTGCTGACTGAAGCCTCTGGTCACGTAGCGCGCCTTGACCAAAGGCGGCTCTCCAAGAGGCGCTTCACCTTGAAGAGCCACCGGCCATCGACTACGTTCACCCCGGGTGGGGGAACTGCATCGACGTAGGTGACAGTGGATCTCCAAGATGCCATCTCCTGCTCTATGGCAGCTATCCATTGAGAGGCCCAGGGTCCCGAGGTCGCCTCAGCGTAGGTGCAAGGGGTCGGGATGTTGAGGGTGTCTAGGTCACCCCCAGGGACTGCAGCATGGAGCAGAGATGAGGCGCAGCCTTGGACAGGAAATCTAGCTCATACTGCCTGCCCTCTGGGACGTCACTATCAAGGGCAGGTGCACCCCCAACGGATAGAGTACAGGCATGGTCAGAGACAAGAGCTGTAGCATAGTCAAGGCGGCGGGTAGAGGCAAAGTCAGTGACGGCAGCAACAAGTGCGTCAAGATTGGAGACAGGAACAGACAGGTCGGTATCGAGGGAGGCACGGACGAGAGGAACAAGAGGACTAGCAGCACGAAGGAAGTTAGAAAAAGGAGGCAGCAAGACAACAAGCGACGACGGAGGATGCGACGGGAGGAGGGGAGGGCGAGACACGTGAGAACGAAGCAATATAGAGTGAGAGTGGGGAACGGGAGAGACAAGACGAGCACGAAAGGGACAGCGAGACCAGACGTGAGACGGAGGCGTCGGGTCAGGAGACAGAGGAGGAGACACAGAAGGGGAACGAGGGGGAAAACGAGCTGGAGACGAGTCCGGTGGAAGAAACACATGGTCATAGACATGCAGAGGAGGCGGCAGGGAAGGAGGCGCAGGCGGGGGGCCATGGGGAGGAAGTCCAAGAAGGCGAAGGGCCGACATCGGCGACGACTGCTGCTGCTGCGTCTCCACGTCGACACCAGAACCTCCAGCTGCACTACGGCTACCTCCGAGAAGCTCCGCGCCAGCACCCCCATTACGGGAACCCTCTCCAGCATCCGTGCCACCCCCAGGACCCGTGGACACCTGCAGTGGCTGTTGCTGCGGCGGCGGCGACTGCGGCTGCGGTCGCGGCGGCGACTGCTGTGGCTGTGGCTGCGACGGTGATGACTGCAGCTGCCGATGCAGCGACAACGAAGGAGGAGACACTGGGGCGGAGACCGACGGCGAGAACAGAGTCGCGGGGCCACCAGAGTCAGCAACTACTCGAGCGGGACAATTGACGGGAGGGGAAGACGTGAGACACAACAGACGGAGCAGGACGGGTGGGGAGAGGAGCAGGGGCTACCGGGGGAGCGGGAACTAGAAACAGGGAAGGGGAAACCGGGAGACCTCTGTAAGGAATGCGGTGGTAGAAGGAGACAAACTCGTAAAAGGCGACGTCATGCGAGTGAAAGAAGCGGTGGGGCGACGGGTGGTAAAAGTAACAGTCAGACGAGTCGAGAGGGAAGCCAAGGAAGACGCAAAGGACTGTGCGGGAAGTGAGCTTGTCCGTGCCAGAGGCACGAACGTGAGCAAGGCAGCTCCAGCGTGGAACGCATATGCGTCACTAGGGAACCTCGTCCAGAGAAAGGTCGGCGAAACCTGCGGTCGCTGAGAGTGCGCCCACAAGTTAATCTGGTGAGCAACGTAGCGAACAGCGAATGGCCACAGAAAATGGGGTGCACCGGCATGGATCATGGAGCTACGAGCCACCTCTATGACAAAACTGATGCGTCGCTCAGCGACCCCATTCTGCTGCGGGGACTCCGGCAGGGTGTACAACTGGGTGATGCCCTCTGCACAACAGAACTGGCCAAGCCGACCAGAGGCAAACTCGCCACCACGGTCGGAATGGAGACGCAGCACGGGGAGACTGCGGTGGACACTTTCAGCTACGATCCACAGGATAAGAACGTCAGGCACGCCGGCCTTCCGATCCAGAGGAAACATCGTGGTGTAGCGCGTGTAGTCGACCAGAAGCACTAGAAAGTAGCGCTCTTGACGCGGCTCGGGGACGGGGGCTGGGCCCCAGACGTCCAGGTGCAGGGTCTGGAGTTGCGTAGTGGTAGGACGAAGCGAGGAGGAGTGAGGAGCATGGCGCAACCGGCCCTCGACGCAAGGCGTGCACGGCGGTGCAGGCGAGGGAGGGAGGGCAGGGAGTGATGCAGGGAGACCTAGGTCAAGACCGTGCTAGGACATTAGACGCAGACGAGGGAGTGCGGGGTGACCTAGATGGTGGTGCCACAGAAGCAAAGGGTGAGTGAGCGACCGATACGAGCAGGTCGAAGCGAACTGAGTAGACGCAGGCACCAGGGGAGACGCCCTCACCAAGGGGGACTCGGCGTCGAGGGTAAACAGACCAGACCGAGGGTCCTGGGGGAATATGGTGAGGGGGGTACCTATAGCGGTGTCGGTACAGACCGCGTAACGCTCGTGTCCAGGAAACATAGTGGTGACGCCGAGGTCCTAAAGACAACCGACACCAATGGCAAGTTGCGATGCGCTAATGGCAAGCTGCGCTACGGCATCGCGCGAATCCCTGATAGCGCGAGCAAATGCAGCAGCCGTAAAAGCCTCACGCTCAGCAGTAGTGGGGGCGTCAGTGAGGGCAACAGGTGCGGGAGGGCGGGGAAGCAAGCCATCGACATGAACAGCCAGGGAGTGGCCATCGAGGCGCTAACCTGTCAGGTGTCGGCGAAGGTCGACAAGCCAGGCATTGAAGTCAATCACGCGCCCCTCCACGTCTAGGCGCATCACATCATCCGCCATCGCACGTCCTCAGGGACACGGCGGCAGGGCGACACGGCGCCACGGCGGCACTGCGGCACGGCCAAATCGCGGCACGGCTCCACGGCTTCACGGCGCGACCGCAACACCTCGGCATGGCTTCACGGCAGCGCAGCGGCACAGCAGCTCGGCGGCGGCGCGGCGTCGGCACGGCAGCGGCACGGCGGCGGCACGGCAGTGGCACGGCGGTGGTACGGCGACTGCACGGTGGCGGCACGGCGACGGCACGACGACCGCACGGTGGTAATGTGGCACGGCGGGGGCATGGCGGCACAACGGCACGGCGGCGGCCCGGTACGCTAGGGACGGCAGGAACGATAGGGACCAGCAGGGCGCTGGGGGGCCAGCGGGGCAGGAACGGGGCCAGCAAGGTGCACGGGTCCAGCAAGGCGCACGGGGCCAGTAAGGTGCACGGGGCCAGCAAGGGCGCACGGGGGCCAGCGGGGCACGACGAAACCGGTGAGGAGCGGCACTAAGGCTAGGGCGTACGTGGCGTGCGGAGTGGACGGGGCCAGGAGAGCGCTACCGGGCCAACGAGGTGCTAAAGGGGACTGCATGGCATACGAGGCCGCCGAGGTGCACTGGGCAAGCGAGGCTCGACGGGGCCAGCGGGGCGCTAACGGGGCCAGCGGGGCGCTAACGGGGCCTGCGAGGCGCACGGGTATAGCAGGGCGCGACCGGGCTAGTGGGGTGTACGGGGCCAAGAGGGCACTAACGGGCCAGCGGGGCGTCTAGGGTCCAGAGGGACGTACGTGGCCAGGAGGGCGCTAACGGGCCAG